AGTATCTAATTAAAGGAACCCTCAGTATAAGTTTAAATGAAAATTATTAGACTAGATAGATTTCCAGTAAGTTATGGACACCAGCCTAATTAAAAACACTATCACAAAATCTTTCAGAACAAGGAGACTTTAATTTATTGTCCTTACAGAAAAGAGGTCTGGAGAACTCCTTATATGATGCTAAACACTGGCATGACATTGAACTACAGAACCTAGGCTCTGTCATTAACAAGCTGGAGGCAGAAATGGGAGAAATCAAAGCAGAAACTGAGCAGCAGCAGAGGGATCGTGAAAATCTGCTGTCCCACAAGCTACAGCTGGAAAAAGACATTGCTACATACCACTGCCTTCTGGATGGAGAAGCAAGCAGGTATTTTTTAAAAATAATTAATGTGTCATGAACAGAGACAGCATTGTATACAGCTGAGAAATGGCATTGTCCCACTTAGTTAGGTGGTCAGGTGGGTGGATTAGGAGACACTACACAGGGGTGTATGCCTGAAGTACACCTCTACAGATGTTCCTAAAGTATAATCATGGGAGGTGAGGGGTTGCCAGCAGTGAGAGAGCCAGCCACAAAAAAAGAACAGCCATGGGCCCCATAGATCCATGAGCCTTCTTTTTCCAAAGAGTTGAGACTTAAAATGAAAAAGCCCCCACGGCTTCCAGGCTATCTTAATGGCTACAAAACAGCTGTGTCGTTACTTAGTATCTTGGGAAATACATTCCTAAAATACCAAGTAATGACACAGCTGTTTTATAGTCATTATAGCCTTATTCCCTTCCCGAAGCCCCTTTCCCTCCCTATCTACAGCCCGCCTCCTTCGACTTTGCTCCTCTGGAAGCTTCCATCCTCTCTGTAGAAAAGGAAGCAACACAAATTAATCCATGACACAGCACTTGAACACCCAAGTAATCCCAGGATTATTCAGATGCTTAAAAGGTAAAGCATGTTCTCAAGTGCTTTCTTGGATCAGGACCTTCATGATTAACATTTTAGCTCTGTTCAGGAATTCAGCAAAATAAATGTGTTTGTTTCTTTAGTTAATTTTTTCAGATTTATCAAGTAACACATCATATTCTATCCCAGATGGAAAGAGTAAGGGAAATTTTGATTCAAAAGAAAATACATACTACATATTTGCCCTCATCCGATTTGTAACAGATCTCCCAATTCAGCAAAGGCACATAAGCATTTTTGGAGAACAAAAGTGGATCTAAACATACTTTAAGTTGAATGCGTGTATAGGTGCTTTGTTAAACTGGGGCCTAAAGAACAAAATTTAACCTTGTAGCCATGTCTTTTTATAAAGAAAAAATAGTTTTCTAAATAACTAACTAACTTGTAAAACTCTTTTATATTTTGAAGCTCTCTAGTTACCAACACTGTCTACACAGCCAATATTCCCCCATTCACATTCCAAATCAAAAAATGTGTGTGTGTTTTTGTTTTTTTTTTAAATCAAAGGCCCTCATTGAGGTGGCTTGTTTTTGAGACAGTATAATCCCCTGCTTAATGAAAAACATCCTGCTGCTAAAAGTTGGGTCTTGATCCTGTACACATCAGAATCAATTGCAGAACTCTGGCTTCTGTACAACTGGGCCATTAGGTAGTAAAAAGACAAGCACATATACCACCTAAAAATCTTGATGAAAGTACAAGCTAGGAGTTTGAAATAAAATTACTGTCCCTGATCCCTCTAAGTTTTGTGGGAAAGTGTTGAGAAAGATATTTACATTGCCTCTGTGCGCTAACCAGAGTGTCTGCTATCAGTGATTGCACAGAACTATTAACCTCACACAGGACTGGATATATAACATAATTGCACCTATGTAACTGGCCTCTCACTGGCATAAAAAAATGGAGCAGGCACACAACCTACCACAGTAATGTGCTCTAACTCAGTTAGAGTATGTTTTTTTCTTTTCACATAAGAAAAAAAATTAAGTGAAAGTTCACCAGCATAAGTTACACTAGAATTACAAGCATCCAGCAGAGCTATGAGATAAGACTATACAAATGTACAGTCCCACCACTTCTGTCTGAAAGAGCCTAGAGCAAAATTGCCATTCTATAACTCACCAGGATCATTCTGACCTACTACATGACTTATGGGCCTGGGTGCACACAACATGTTTAAGCAGTGATAGTCACATCTTTGTAACCTTATGTAAATTACATTTGTATCCAAAACTAACAGACTTGCAGCTATCCCAGGGTAGCTGCAAGCTGTAGATGGTTATTGCAGCACCTTCCCCCTGGGTGCAGGTGATGCAGAAGTTAGCATGATGGAGCCAACGGCTCATCTGGGATAAACCACTGAAAGATGTACATGATCTTTTAACTAGAAAAAATACCACTCGCTCCTTCCCCCATTTCCCCAATGCAATAATACCTTTCTTTTTTTCTTTTAAGCTGAAACCCTATTATTGGCTAGTAGTGTAATTAAAACACTCCTGGCTAAAATTCAGGGCCACAAGGCCTGTACACTTTTGAAGTGTCACTCCAGATTTGCACTAGGATGAATTTCACATACATAGCAGGAAATGAGAGAGGAAAGCTAGAGAAAATGGCCTGATTCACAAAGTTTGAATGCAGAGAGAATTTTCCGTAAAATGTGGGTGGCGTTGAATACGAGTCTTGATTCTGAGAACCTCGTCACTAAATGCATGTGTGAACTCTTCATGGTCAAAATCTTCAAAACTACATTTTGCAAATTATCTTGCTTCAATATCAAGACATTATAAGAATTAAGTTATAGCCAATAGCAGAGTATCTTAATAATGATCAAAGCATTCTCAGTGAGCTGCAATAAAACTCATGGCTAAAAATCATCTCGGAGTTGAGAACCGTTTATCACATGGTCTATGAACGAACAAGGACTGAATATTGCACAGACCCTGATTTAATCTTCAATGTAAGGGTAAATAAAACTCATTATGAGATAAATACAGAAGGCTAAATCTGTTCTCAGTTATGGTTAAAGCCCATTGAAGTCCATGGAACTTCACCAGTGAGAATGAAAGTAGAATTTAGTCTGAAATGTTATTTTTAAACCGATTTGCAATAGAGGACAAATAATATACATATTTTTTAATTTTCAGTTGATTTTGATGTTCCTTGTGCACAGAAGACAACGTTGCTGTTCAAACAAAAAGATGTCATTGACAAAAAATGTTCGTGGAAAGTTAAAAAAAAAAAAATCCAAAGCAGCCTGCTTTATTCAGTTTGATTCAACAATCTAAGTAGGTTGTAGCTTGAACAACTTTATTAGAAACTCCTCACATGATTGCTTTGCTTACACATTTCAATTTGCCCATGTTGTTAAAATAAAAATAAAATGAAAGAATAGTCAGTTTTAGTTGTTCGAATTTTTTCCTCCAACATTGCTTACTGCGGCTGAAAGGCATAAGAGCACAGACCTTTTGTTTATCCATTAAGTACTGTGAACCACCTCCTTTTGCAGTACAAATAGTCTATAATACCATCATTTGTCTGCTGTGCAACAAGCAAAAAAATGTATTTTTAATGCAATGGATGGAAATGTTTATGTTGCATCACAAGATTTTGGCCTCATTACTGTAAAATTTATTGTACACTAATATGTCTGACACAGATAAAGCATGACAATAATTTGTTGCAATTAATTTTGCAGTAAGCAGGCGGGGTCAGCAGCAGCAAGGCAAACTTTCCATCACTGCCCTGTAAACGCACCTTAATTCTGTTCTAGAGGAAATCTGACCGAAGATAAAAGAAGTTTGTTCAGTCTCCAAGACGATTCACTTTTTGGTCTCTGATGATTACAAAGAGAGCCAGCTTGTGCCAGCATAGATTCATAGATGTTAGGGTCGGAAGGGACCTCAATAGATCATCGAGTCTGACCCCCTGCATAAGCAGGAAAGACCGTTCCAGACCTTGGCCACTCGAACTGTGAAGAAGTTCTTCCTAATGTCCAATCTAAATCTGCTCTCTGCTAGCTTGGGGCCATTATTTCTTGTAACCCCCGGGGGCGCCTTGGTGAATAAATACTCACCAATTCCCTTCTGTGCCCCCGTGATGAACTTATAGGCAGCCACAAGGTCGCCTCTCAACCTTCTCTTGCGGAGGCTGAATAGATCCAGTTTCTCTAGTCTCTCCTCGTAAGGCTTGGTCTGTAGGCCCTTAACCATACGAGTGGCCCTTCTCTGGACCCTCTCCAGGTTATCCACATCCCTCTTGAAGTGCGGCGCCCAGAATTGCACGCAGTACTCCAACTGCGGTCTGACCAGCGCCCGATAGAGGGGAAGTATCACCTCCTTGGACCTATTCGTCATGCATCTGCTGATGCACGATAAAGTGCCGTTGGCTTTTTTGATGGCTTCATCACACTGCTGACTCATGTTCATCTTAGAGTCCACTAGGACTCCAAGATCCCTTTCCACTTCCGTGCCACTCAGCAGGTCATTCCCTAGGCTGTAGGTGTGCTGGACATTTTTCCTCCCTAGGTGCAGCACTTTGCATTTCTCCTTGTTGAACTGCATGTTGTTATGTTCTTTGATCTGAGCCCCTTCCGACCACAATTTTTTACAGAAGGCCACTACAGTAGCAGCAGACTGTACTGGATCGTATTTCAAATAAACTGGTGATTCTGAGGGAGAACTGTCCACATCTTATTGTTAACTCACCTCGTCTTGCTTTTAATAATCAAAATGTTTATAGTCTAATTTTATTGCTTTGTAATATGGTTATATTCACTGCTAATGTCCAGGAAGTTATCATGTATCAAAAAAATATAACAATTTTAACCTTAAACCAGTAAACCTTTATATGCAAACCCACTAGTCCCTCCAAGTTAATAAAGCTAAACACATGCAAGTTTGCAGGATCAGAACTTCACAATATAAACAGACCAGAGGAAAAAAAAATGTTGGGCAGGATCTGTTTTGGGATATCTTATATTAAGGAATCCAAAACTGCTGAGAAACTGGATGGAAACCTAATTGGGAAATAGCCTGAAATTATTTTAATTTTGTAATAATTAAATGTCTGCTCAAGTGGCAAAAGTCCCTTAATGGATAACAAAAATAAATACTCTCCAGACTTGATACACTTCATTTGCTAGTAAGTGAGCTTTAACACCCTGATCATGTGCTTCCTCCCACACAACCCCATGTGCATCTAATGTACTTTCTGAATGGTCTACAAGACAAAACAATGAGATGTAATAAGGAGAAATTAAATATTTAAACTACGATACCTACATGATTTTGGTCAAAATATGGCTAGAAAGAAGTATTTGTGAATTGGGTTATGCTTCATTAAACAATGAAGTGTTTGTATGCTGCACCTATTGGCTAGGGACCTACATTACACATAAACCAGTTTAAGTGATCAGAAACTGGTTTAAACTTAGAACAGAACAGATATTCAGTGCACATAAACCAGTTTCAAAATGGCCAAAACTGGTTTGAGAAACCTGTTTGAATGAAGTATCAGACTTCACTGATTTCACTCAAAACAGTTTATACAATGTCTGTCCCAGACCACTTCCTGGTTTAACTTAAACCAGAGTCCCCCAGCATCCCAGCATGCTCTCTGGGCTGGACTCTCTGCTCCAGCTCAACAGGGCTGGCCATGCCCCCTTACTCCCCCAGCCAGAGCAGGGGCAGGGGCAGGCAGGGACAGGGGCCTGGACAGAGAAGAGTTTAATTCTCCCCTCCCTGTCCCACAGGCAGAGGCCTGAGCCAGGTCTGCCAGGTGCTCCCCCATCACTGCAGTGGGCAGAGGGGGCAGGGAGGAGGATTATTCTCCCCTCTACCCTCACTGCCCCGGGGGACTGCAGCTGGGTCTGCTCGCCCTGACCACTGCCGAGTGGCAGAATAAGCCCCCTCCTGTTCCCTCTGCTGGAAAGAGGGGAAATAACCCCCATTCCTGGCCCTTCCTCCTCCCCACCAAGGGGCCCTGCCAGCCAGCATCTAGCCAGGTGAGGGCTTGTTGGGGAGCAAGCTCCCCTGGCCAGGTCAGAAATGCCAGTGCATCCCAAGCCCAGTAGCTGCCACTGCTGTGCCCTCTTCCCTGTGCAGCACCCGGGGCTGCAGCTGAACAAACAGCTATGGGTTGGTTGAGGAGGGGGGCTGTTCTGTCCTCAGCTGCTGTGGCCACAGCTGTGCCACACCACGCTGCTCTGGGTGGGGGGAAGCTTCTGCCTCATGCGTGGCTCCAGCTCCTGGATGCCTTGGAAGGCAGAAGGTGCCTGGGTGGCAGGCTTCAGTCCAGGGGCTGCAACCGGAGCTCCATGCGCAAGGCACAAGTCGATGGGCTGAAGCTCCCCCACCGCTGCCACCTCCCAGAGCAGAAGGAATGGGAGGTGGAGTAACTGCTACAGGCAAAGGGAAGCTGGCATGGCCCGGCAGGGCTGTTTTTCTCCCCTCATCTACAGTTGCAGCTTCTGCTGCACCATGCCACACTGCTCAGGACTGGGAGAGCTTCCTTCAGCCTAGCGGCTTCAGCCTAAACTGGTCTGGTGCCACTGGGCTGAAGGACGCTCCCCCAGCCCTGACTGGCACTCTGACTGCAGCCCCCAGACTAAAGCCTTCCACTCTGGTGCCTTCTACCTTTCAAGGTGTCCAGGAGCTGGAGCCAGAGCCAGAGCTCCATTCATGGAGCAGAAGCTTCTCGCTCCCTCCACCCAGAGCAGCGTGGCACGGCACGGCCGTGGCAGCAGCAGCTGGGGACAGAACAACCTCCAGCCCAAGCCAGCCCACAGCTGTTAGTGCAGCTGCAGCCCTGGGTGCTGCACATGGCAGGGAGTGCGGTGATGGCAGCTGTTGGGCTTGGGGCCCGCTGGCACTTCTGAGCTGGCTGGAGAAGCCTGTTCCCCAGCCAGCCCCACCTGGCGGGGCCAGATGCCAGCCAGCAGGGACCCTTGGAGAGGTGCAGGGATGGGGGTTATTCCCCTGTCCCAGACACTGGAGGGAGGGGGCTTATTCCTCCACTCGGCAGCAGTCAGGGCAGGCAGGCCTGGCTGTGGTCCCCAAGGAGCAGTGGCGATAGAGGGGATAATAACCCCCCTCCCTGCCCCCTCTGCCTCAGGGGCCATGCTGGCCTGCCACTGCAGCAGCAACAGGGGGACACCCAGTAGACAGCTTGGTTCCCTGCTGGTAGGTCAGGGAGAGGGGAGTTGAACACGGCCCCCAACAGAGCTTCCCTACAGCCAAGGGTGTGCTGTAGCACCCCCAGCTCCTGCCCTGAGCAACTGCAGGCATGTAACAGCACAGACGTGCAGGCACAAACCAGTTCAACCTAGGCAGGTTAGACTAACCTACAAAGCTTGACTCAATTCAAGCTTTGGCTTTTTCAAAGTCTGTCTCTAGCCCTTAGGCATGGCCTTTGTGTATTCTCTATTTCATTTCAAACTTAAGCTCTTCAGAACTGGAACTAAATTATATATTTGCACAACACCTTGCAAATTGTAGGTGCTTCTCCAATATAATACTAATGTTAACACAAACTGGTACACAGGTGATAGGATTATGGTGTATCAAACAGTTTCTTTAAAATGGACATCATCTGGGATTTGTTTCGGTCAACAAACACATAACGTGAATCCCTGAATCTACCAAATTGGTCAGATTTCAGTGAAAATTGTATTTTAACCTGAGATTCAGTGAACTGCCAGGCCTCCCTACATTTTGAGGAAGAATCTCAAATTCACATCTCTACTACAGAACAGACTATTGCTGTCTTAGTGGGTATTTTTGCCTCGTGTGCGCTAGAATTGCAGTGAGCATCTGTAAATCATTAAATTAATAATCTGTTAGCAGGAAGGGATACATCATACTGATGATAAGCATCTCCTTGCTGTTTCTAATAATGCTTCATTAACAGGTCTGAAAAGGCTCTGCTGTTCCCATTTCAACACAAACCTGGATTATAGTTTCAAATGATTTGCCGTATTTTAAGTTTGGGTTTGAACACAAACATAAAATATAACATTAAATGTCAACTGGAGTTCTGAAACAATCTTTTATTAATTGGAAGTGCACAATTCTTGAAGGACACGCTCTTCATTCCTCAGTTTCAACACAAAAAGGGCCATAAGTACAGAACTTCCTGTGGCCTGTCTTTTCTCCAAGTAAAAACTAGAAGACAACCAAAATCTTTCCATAAGTAGTCTGCCAGATGTGCAACACATAGCACAACTGGCTCTACTAATGCAAAGTGCTTTCCCATAAAGTTAATTAAAAAAAAAAAAGCTACTTGATTTCTGAATAAAACTATCACGATTTTTTTCTATGGTATTCATCACTAGACTCATTGGTGACACGTAGGGGGTCCACATGCACCCCCTGAGATTGGCCTTGAACCCCGAGAGATTGGCTGCTGCTGACGCTGCTGGCGGTATCTGCAGGTGGTCACCGATTGCCACTTACAACCCCCACCCACTGCTGACACCACCACAGCCTCCTATGGACAGTCCCCGCTCGCCCCGCCCTCACCACTGACATCACCGTAGCCACCTGCGAGCAGTCCCCGCTCACCACCACCAGACCCCTGCCACCATCTCCATGCCCCCCCAGCCTCGTGAGGTATGAGGTGTTCATGACCAGACTAGTTGAGTACCATGCTTATGTTAATGAATTATCTTCACACTGGCAGCGAGCTGTAGATAACATTTAGAAATGGGTAAGTGAGGATCAGAGATTAAAGGAAAGGGTTTCATAACTGGTCCCTGATTTTGCCTAAGATCTCCAAACTAGCAATTGTTGTATATGTGGATATATATTTCTCCACTGAAGTATTTCAAACTAAGCTTTTTAAAAGAAGATGCATTATTTCAATTAAGGTTCCCTTTTTGTGTTA